GGAATTACAGGTATGAGCGTCCATGTTACCTTCCTGAACTATTGTCTTGTCCCCATCGGAGGCCCCAGAGCAAGTCTCTGAGGAACAGAGCACACGAGTCAACATGGAAGGCAGCTGTTGGGAGTGGCTATGACTTCCTGGCCAGGGGTGTTGGGAGGTTAGGATGGAGGTGGGCTATTGGTGTTGAGCAGCTGCCTGCCAGAAGGAGCAAGAGAAGAGAATCTGCAGACAGAGAAGCAGGCCTCATAGGGATGCTGGATAGACAGGACCGTTAGAGGGACTGGGGAGGAGGGACCTTGTCTTGAAGGTTTAGGTGAGAAGAACGAATGTGTGGAGGACCTAAGGGACAGCCGTATTTGAGGAATGGTGTCAGGGAGAGCCAAGAGGGAGGACTGGGCTTGAGGGCAAGAAGGCAGCTGGTCCAAGGCTCTGTGGACTGCACTGCAGTGGGACTGGCACCCCTCACCAGCATGGCATGCTTGGCAGGAGCCGCCCAGCACAGCACACGAAGAGTGAATTGGAAGCGTGTGATGAGTTAGACAGCTCCATAGAGACTCTCAGGGACCTGACAGTGTGCAGAAAGGTTTTTTGTGGCCATGGTGGTCACAGCTAGAAGTGGGGGGAGGAAGGAGTTCTAGGAGGATGAATGGTTTACTGGGATTTCTTTTTCTCCTATTCTTCGGAGCCCCAGAATTGTGCCCAGCTGAGGAAGCTGAGGGACAGGGCTGTCATGACACTTCTTGGGAACCTTCTTACGGAGACACTCCATTAGATACCCGTGTGCTGCTTCTGTGGCTGAGGGCACTTTGTCCACAGAGTGGATTCCATGGTAGGGGCTCAGTACCTGCTGCCTGGCCCTGGAATGGGACCCCAGAGAAGCCCCCAGAAGAAAGATGATGGGGCCTGAGATTTGGAAACTCTGCCCCTATATCCCACCATTGACCCTCCTCTTTGGTTCTCACCCGAGTCACAGGTCAGAACAGACGTGTGCAAGAGCACACACCTACCACGTCCTGAGTGTCACGTCCTTTATATGATGTGTCTTCCCTCAGTGCTCAACTCCTCTTTCTTTCCCTTCCTTCCTTCCTTCCTTCCTTCCTTCCTTCCTTCCTTCCTTCCTTCCTTCCTTGTTTTTTTGAGACAGGATCTCACTATGTAGCCCTATCTGGCCTGGAACTCAGACATAGACCAGGCTAGCCTCAAACTCAGAGATCTTCTACCTGTCTCTGCCAGGTAGGCACCACCCAAACCTGGCCCACTAAGCCATGTGAGTGGACAGGACTTTAATTCTGTAGGAGCCAAGAAGTCCGGTGTTTTCGTGGTTGAGGAATGTATCCCCTTGGAAGTGAGGCCTGAGCTGAGGTCCGAGGGATTATCAGCTGGGAGTGAGGGTTGTGGGGAAGAGGGGCCTACCAGGCGGGAAGACCCTGAGGCAGAACACAGTTTGGTGCATGGTGAACTGGCCAGAGCAGAGATAAAGAGGGAGGGTGAGTCTTCAGCCTCACGTGGCTTTGGTGGGTTCTGCCAGGAGTTTTATCTAATTTTTTTTTGTTAAGCTTTTGGGGGACAGGGTTTCTCAATATAGACCAGGCCTGACTAGAATTCTCTATAGAGCTCAGACTTGCCCAGAACTCATAATGCTCCTGCCTCAACAGCCTCCTGAATTCAACTATTAACCTGTGTGCTAGCACACCTAGCTAAATTTTTAATTGAGGATTGAAATTGGCTTTTTTTTTTTTTAAGTTTTACTATCTGGTTAGACAAACCCTAGATTTTAGTTGTTAACTATACTTACACATACCCACAGAAAGGTAGGTAGGTAGGTAGGTACACACTGTGTCACTAGTGATTATAAAACAACATCCTGTGGTTTTAGGGGCTGGGGGAGCCTTTGACGTTAGAACCAGGGAAACATGATCAGACCTGGCCTGGTCATGTAAAACTTGGGAGCAGTTAGTGGGAGAGGAGGAACAACAGAGATCAGCCAGCCAGAGCCAGCAGGCCCTGCTTTGCCACTGCAGGCTCAGACCCAAGGGGTGGGTGAGGCAAGCAGAGTAGCTCGGGGGCTGAGCTGGGCGGGGCCGGGCCGGGCCTGGGGCCTCTGCTTTGCCTTCCAGCCCTCCTCAGCGCCTGTCTGACTGCTGAAGCTGCAGTTGGTGCTTGAGTCATGCTGTGTCTTTAAGTGGGTGGCTACAGGGCCTGTGAGTTTGTCCTTCCGGCCACTGACGTCAGGAATGGGAAAGACTAACTAAGAAGATTCGATTTCCTTTTCTTTGAAAGGGGAGGAGATTGAAACTGAGTAGGCCCTGATGAAAAGAGGGGAAGTCCTGGGCTGCAGGAGCCCCTTGCGTGAAGGTGGAGGCTAACATGGGGTGAGCAGAGCACATTCTATAGAGAAACACTGGGCTTTCCACTGCATGCCACCAACTGTGTGAATGTGTTTTTGTCCTTTCCTGCCTCTCACTGCTCAGGGAGACACCTATGGTTCCATGGTCCTGGGCCACACACATGGTGGTGAAGGCTTCTGTTATGGAAGCCTGCAGTGTGGGGGGCCTGTCCCTTGGCCGAGAGACCCTGCTGAGGCTTTCTTTGCTACTCTTCCGGGTGTTAGCTGGAAGCCTCATGGCAGGGTGGGGTGGCACCTCCATCCTTCCCCTCTGACTAGAGTTTACATTTTCAATGTGTCTCAGTTGCCAAACATTTGTCTTTTATTAGGATACAGCATGGGCCCAGGGACCGTGGGAGGATAATTGGGGGCTTTGTCTGCCTTTGGGAGTTTTGACTCAGATCCCATCCTGCCTGGCTTGTGGCATATGCCTGACAACCATACACTGCGTGTTTGGTAGGGTAGGACAGGTGTATGGGTAGGCGGCCGATACAGGGAGCAGGTGTGGGGGAGGGTAAGCATGAAGAAACTGGGGCTGTAACAGATTTATATCACACTACTGGGAACTTTCTTAGAGTCTCTTGCTGAGCTGGGTGCCCCTGGGAACAGGTGGAGAGGGGGTTGCTGGTCACAGAAAAGAGGAAAACTTGGTTACGACCAGCTCTTCGGCAGGTTTGGAGCGACTGTCGCCATTGGCCTGACAATCGTTGTGGTGTTCATCGCCACCATCGTCATATGCTGTACCTGCTCCTGCTGCTGTCTGTATAAGATGTGCCGCCGACCACGCCGTAAGCTTGCCCTTCCCCACCTTGCCTGCCTGTGCCCCTCCCTGTATGAACTTGCCAAGCCCAGAGACCTGACCAGAACCCTGTTTTGGCTAAGCTGGAGGGATGGAGGGGGCAGGCCTGGCCTAGGGAGTCATAAGGTTTTGACTAATCAGGACTCTCTTTGCAGCTATAGTGACCAACACCACAACCACCACCGTGGTTCATACCCCTTACCCTCAGCCTCCAAGTGTGGCGCCCAGCTACCCTGGACCAACATACCAGGGCTACCACCCCATGCCCCCCCAGCCAGGAGTGCCAGCAGCACCCTACCCGACACAGTACCCACCGCCCTACCTGGCCCAGCCCGTGGGACCACCAGCCTACCATGAGACCTTGGCTGGTGAGTACCACTGTGGGTACCCTGCATGGTCCCCAACTCAAGTCTCTGTTCCTAGGGTCCCTTCCTGCTAACTTGCATCCCATCTATACTGCAGCCCAATGTCCCCACAGCTAACCTATGTCCTCTTTACTTTCAGGAGGTTCATCTGCACCCTACTCTGCCAGTCAGCCTCCATACAATCCGGCCTACATGGACCCCCCAAAGGCAGTTCCCTGAGCCTGCCCCCGCCTCTTTGGCTGCCATTTGATTGTCATGTGTGAGTGAGTGGCATGCAGTTCTTTACTGCTCTCTGGGGTGTATGTGCCTTGTCTAACCCTGTGACTCCTGATGCTGACCAGGTAGGCACAAACCCTTACCAGTGTGGCTTGGGACCAACCTGTTTTCTTCCTCACTTGAATTATACTTTCTGAAATCTCAAGTAAATTAGAAACATTGGGGTAGGAGGTATTTCCCAGTTCACCCCAAGGTGACCAGCCATGGCCTGTCACACTTAGGAGAGTAAGCTTTTTGTGGGCACATGTCCTGCTCTGGGGAGTAACCAGCTAGCTGCTGGTCAGGGCCATGGCTTGTCCCCAGGGGTTGGCTGCATTTTGCAGTGAGGCAGGTAGGTGGGCAGAACAAGGGGCCTGGCTGAAGCTCAGTGTCGTGCGTGGGTCAGCTCCCAATGTTAAAGCACACCAGACAGCCTCATCTACTCACCATCAGTTGTCTGGACTGTCCCGGTGGCTTTCCTAGGACTATGTGGAGGGCTACATGCACTCAGCATTCAGGCTTCAGTGAGGAAGTTTTTCTACCTTTGCTGCCTGGCTCCTGCCACTAGGCAAGGGGCCTCTGTCTACCATGGCTTGTTTCTACTTGCACTGCCTTGTTTTACTTTTAGCCAAACATTTTGCCTGTTTTCTGCCTCGAGATGTGCTAGTTGGTGTGAGGTTGAAATCCCTGGTTCCTGGAGGATAACCTGGCCTCTGATAATCTGTTTCCCTTGACACCAGCTTCATAGAATACCTGACTCCTGTATAGCACCAGAGATGCCAGGGCCAAGGGGCTATCTGGACCAAAGGTGGGGTGGAGGGCATAGACGGGAGCTCTGGCCCAGACATGAATACTTTACCTCGGTGTTCCCTGTGGATTGCTGTTCCAATAGCTGTCCTAGCTCTGTGTCTGTTGTGTATTTTGGAGCATCCAGGCTCTGTACCTTTGTTTATAATAAATGCAAACATTTGGGCCTACTTCCTCTTTCTTCAGAGCCTGGGCTGCTAGCCTCGGCTATATCACCAAATACTGTTTTTATCTGTCTCTTGAACTTGGTTTCCCCTACTTTTATTAGCCAGGTAGGTTTGATTATCCTGCTAAGACAGCAAGGGGCTGAAGCTGGGCCTCGCTCGTCCCCAGGGCCCTGAATGTGGGCAGAGGCCCAGGCTGTGAAGAAGTGGAGGCAGCAAGTACCTGTCAGTGCTGTGGGGGTCTTTATTAGTCAGATTTTCCTTGGTTTATTGCCCAGGTGAGGCCAAGAAGAATCCATACAGCATGGCTACCGCCAAGGTCAGGAAGGCCAGCAGGCTCAGTGGGGCCAGCAGCTCCTCTGATGGGGTTTCTGGGACCTTTGCTGGAGGAAGATTCTTGGGTTGCCTGCTCCTGCCATGGCTGGGACTTGTGTTGGTTGTGGTCAGGGATGTAGTGGTTGTGGCAGCATATGGCCTTGGCTTGGTTGTTCCAGCAGTAGCTGCAATATCATACATGGGTTTGATGGTGCTAAAGGGCCGGGCATGTTTATCCACCCACTGCAAGAGGGCCCGTGGCTTCCACTGACAGATGCTGAGCAGGGCTAGAACATCACCTTCAGCAGTGTGTGAGTCTGTTGGTGCTTGCCCATACAGGCGGGTATAGATGCTGCCCAGGCTGTAGCTCTTCCTTGGACCACGCTCTGAGGAGCTGCTAGCTTGTTCCAAGGCCTTTAGGGCAGCAATGCTATCTACACAGAAGGTACCATCTAGAGGACTTCTAATGGTCAGCATAGCAAGCTCTGCCTGGAGCAGGGGAAAGTCGTAACGGTCACCATTGTGTGCCACAAGGCAGCAGGGCTGTGGCTGGCGCTGCAGGAAGGCTTGGAGCAGGTTGGCCAAGCTGTCATCAAAGGGTTGCCGTCCATTTGCTTCCAGTTCAGCTGTGTTCAGACCTGTGATCTCACTGGCTGCAGGGCTACAGGCTTTCCCTGGAGCAATGCATAGAGAGAGCTTGTCCACCACACGGGGTGGTTTGGGCACTGGAGGTGGCTGTCCCGCAGAGATGGAGGTGTTTTCCAGGGCACATCTATGGACAGCCAGCAGACACAGCTCTGTGATCTTGGGCTGAGAAAAAGGCAGGCCAGTGGCTTCCAAGTCCAAGAAGATGAGGGTCTGCATGGGACCGAGGGGCAGAGCCTGTGAGCCCATGCTGAGCCTGGGAAGGAGCATGGGGTAGATGAGTGCCAGCAGAGTCTACAGTGGGCCAGGACAGGGATAGGGTGTGGGCAGAAGCACAGCTCAGGCCTTCCCTTCAGTCAGGCACTATCCAGGGCCCATTTTCAGAGCAGGGGCTAGAAGACAGGGTTGTTTTCCTAGTGGGCTGGGCATACTACTATCCTTTTGAGGCAGGAGCCCTTCCCCTAGTGCTGACCACCCTCAGGGTGAGGGAAACCTTTTCTTTTCTTACCCCATATCCTTAAGGTCCACACTTACCGAGAAGCAGGCAGCAAGGCACTGTGTTGGTTCTGCTGCTGGCAGCAGTGGCTCAGGAAGTGAAACTGCCTGGGTCTGCCCATAGGCCTGCCTTCTGAACAAGGCCCGCCCAGCTAGTCATCCCAGGCCTGGCCCTCACATGCTAAAGCCCTCCCTCTCTCTCCAAATACCCCAAAGGCCTTAGATCCATAGCTGTGATCCCAGTTGGCTGATAAAACAAGACTAGTGCTGCCACACTGACAACGCTCTTAACCTTTGCTTGTCTCCAGGGTTCAAACACTCCTGCAAACCTCTACCATGGCTTTCCTTGCCTTTCCTAGTCCTTGGGCCACTTTCCCAGGCCTTCCTAGGGAAGGGCTGCCTTCTCTGCTACACACAAAGTTTTTCCCATGGCTCCAGCCCAAAGCTATGACTCAGGGCAATTCCCGAAGAGGGGTAGGGCATTTCCTCAAGGCAGATTAGTTACCATGGGGACCATCTCAACTCCAGTAAGGGGAGGGAGGTAGTTCCTAGTCTTCTCTGTCCCTCGCTCTCAGTCACACAAACTAGACTCAGGAAACAAAGCTGTTGTTCTCAGCAGGAACTGCAGTTTTAATCAGTGGATATGGCAAAGACAGTGGTGGGAGCTGGTGCCACCTTGTGGCCGGCTGCTCAGGCCGTCAGCTACAGTCCATTTCAGAGTCTTCCAAATCTGTCTCCGCAGCACAGAGGTCATCCAGGGCTGCCTCTGAACCAAAAGGAAGAGGGTTCTGAGGTTAAGCCTGATAGTGCTGAGGCTTGGAGGTCTACCCATCCTCCCCTAGCAGCACAGGAACTAACCAGTCCCTTCCATGCCCAAGCTTTGCTCCCTCAGCTACTGTGAGCAAAAGTGATACAAAAGCAATTCAGACAGATATATTCTGGAAAAACCATGGCTCAGCTAGGCCAATTCAATGGACATGATCAAAGGACAACCTAGTATACTCAAAGAACCAGAGCAGGAAGGTAATGTCCACAGTGCCAGAAAAATGGCTCTGGTGGTGGTGGTGGGGGGGGGCACTGAGGCCTAGCAAAGGAACTTGCCATCTCATGAGCCTCAGGCAGAGGCTCATAAAGGCTCGGGCAGGGTCCTCTTGCTGGCTTACCTTCACAATCGGCTACATCAGGAAGGGCTCGAATCAGCATGCTGACCCCTGGCATCACCTGGTCATACTGATGCAGGACCTCCACACAATGCACAGTAAAGAACTTGTCCTTCTGAGACAGGCTATGCAGCAGCAGCACAGTGTCCCTCAGACAGCGCATCGTCTGCTTCTGCTGGGGGGTCCTTGGACCCCCTGCCCGCCGCACAGTCAGCCATTGTCTGTGCAACATCACAGTGAGCACTCTGACTGCCTGGGGTGAGAGAGGGCACAGACCGAGGTCTAAGGACTCACTCAGCCTAGCCACTTACCCAACTGAGCTGGCATGTTGCGGCCCCTGGCCACTCACCTCTACGTTGCATTGGCAGTCAGAACCAATGCCTGGCAGGGAAGGACTCTGCACACTCAGCTTGGCCAAAAGCCATACCACCTGGAATGAGAAGAGATGGCTTGTCACTTGCAGAACCCGACACTTGTCACCAGGGCTTTCTCGGGCATTTCTAAGAAGCTCTAGCTACTTCTCCAGCTGTTTGCTTACACAAGTGGGGGCTGAGTAGTGGTGGTTCGAGGCTTTCAGACCCGAATCTCATCAATAGCTTACCTACTTCTGGGGCCAGGATCAGGCCCCCCAAACCAGGCAGCAGCATCAGGCAACTCTGCTGAGTCCATTGTAATCCTGGGTACATTTGTATTGTATCTGTGTGAGGAACCCCTAAATCTTACCTGTTGTGGTTCGACAAACTAATCAAAATCAAGTGTAGCTCCTGTTTTCCCACAGGAGGAAAGACCCTGGGCTCTTAGGAAGGGGGTGAGGGGTGCACAGTCTCTCGGTCTCCCCATCTTACCTCTTGTTCCAGCTGAAGCCACTGTGTCTCTGAGGCCACTTTGTCAGGCCTTGACGTAATGTACATGTACAGCCTCAGGAGAAGGCAGCCTTCTGAAAAGGATGCCCAGCCTTACTCAGCATCTCCCTTTTCACTGGAGCCTGGGGTCCAAGTGCAGAAGCCCCCCGAGAGGCTCTGAACCTGTCCCTGCGCCAAACCCTCCCTTCCATGACAGGATAGTTGAGAGCCAGCCTGGCCTGCTTTACCTGAGTGGAAGCACAGCTGCTGTGCAAAGCTGTCATGGTCCACCAGAAGGGAGAGCAGCTCAACAGCCAGTAGCACACACGGCAGTGGCAGCTCTGAGCTGAGGCACTGTGGCAACATCGGCAACACACAGGAGAACCTGAAGGATGGGCACAGTTACGACACTCTGCAAAAGGACACTTAATGCAGTCAGACAAGGGTTTAAATGCTGGCCTGACCATGGCCTATTGCTTCAAGATTGTCACAGGTAGACAGGTATTAACCTTTACAAGACTGCTGTGACTTAAAAATAACAGGCCCTCAGTGGGGGTGGGGGGTACATGCCCATAATCTCAGCACTTGGGAGTCAGAGGCAGGATCCACCACACAATGAGTTAGAGATGAGCCTAGGCTACATGCAATCAAGCCTCACCAGCATATCACAACCCCTCATTCACCCTAAAAAAAGACAGGCCCTTACGTAGCTTTGTATGAAATAAATGGGACAGGACTCCCTGGATATGGGGTGCATGACCACACCCTCAGGCCTCTTCCTGCATCTGCTCTCAAAACAGCATGAGAAACGTTCTTTATCCAATACTACAGGATAGTCTCTAAGAAACAAGCATGGACCTGGCTACAGCTCTGTCTTATGAAGCCATTCACAGAACAAGGAAAACCATTTTCCTCCACTGGTCTCTGTTATCAGAGTGAAAGGCACATGTAGTGCCCGTGCACTCAAGAAACACACACACACACACACAGAGAGAGAGAGAGAGAGAGAGAGAGAGAGACAGACAGACAGACAGACAGACAGACAGACAGACACAGAGAATATGAATGCTATTTCTCCCTCAGGTCTCAGAGACAAAGGGATGGCTGTGGCCAAGGAATCAGGTCGCAAGGGCTGGATCCACACTACCTGCATCAGCACAAGGGAGAACTGGTAGGTGGGAGAGAGGCCACCTAAAATACTCTGAGGCCATATGTTTGTAGCAATTTGTACATGTATGGTGTCTCAGCACAGAGCATGGAGATGGAGACTGTCCATCAGTGTGACATGGGAAAACAAAGGCTCAATACTTGGGTCGACCCTGGTTTGCAGCACATTTTTTTTTTTCCCTATGTGCATCGGTGTTTGCCTGCATGCATGTCTGTGTGAGGGTGTTGGATCCCCTGGAACTTAAGTTACAAAGAGTTGTGAGCTGCCTATGCTGGGAATTGAACACTGGACCTCTGTAAGAACAAGTGCTCTTTTTTTGTTTGCTTGCTTTTGGTTATTTGAGACAGGGTTTCTCTGTGTAGCCTTGGCTGGCCTTAACTCACAGAGATGCACCTGCCTCTGCCTCTGGAGTGCTGGAATTAAAGGTGTGCACCACCACTGCCCTGCACAGCTATTGCTCTTAACCACTGAGTCATCTCTCTAGCTCCTGTTTTACAGAACGTTTTACAAACAGGGAGAAATTGGGCATTCTTTAGTTGCCAGGTACTGTGGATCTCTGGGGAAGAGTTTAATTTAGTTGCTCTCTGACCTAACTATGCCAACCTAGCCTATTCTGGCCCTTGAACATAGCTTGAGAGATTCTACCTTTGCTTTCCAGTATGGTTTTTCCCTCCCATGGCTGTAAGGCCTTCTTTTACAAAGTTATGCCAGACATGGGAGTGCACACCTGTTATCCCAGGATTCGGGAGGCAGAGGCATGGAGATCTTAGTTCTAGCCCAGACTGGTCTATATAGTGAGTTTCAGGCCAAGTAGGGAGGGGTAAATAGTGATACCCTGTCTCAAAAAGGAAACAGAAAACAAGTTGCACATAGCACCAGATTACAGAAGTACAGGGTTTTCAAGTCTGGAGGGCAATGAGACTGAGCAGACTGCAGGTTCCCTGGCTTCACCAGAAGGTGACGAGGACGCTGTGCAGTTCATCTCCAGCACATAAACACGATGAAAATAGAGCAGTATTTTGTGGGGGGTGCTGTGGGTCTGAGCGCCATGGGGCAATGGAACTGCCCTAACATGTTCCCTATGGCATTTTACACAAGTGTTCCTACTTCAACATAGGGCCTACTTAACAAACACGGACTGAGCCAGGCTCTGTGTGAAGTGTAGAGTGCTGTCAGGAGAGTCACCAGAGCCACTGAATAAAGTACTTGTATCTGGCCAGTAGATAAGAGTTCTGAATACCCTGTAGGTCAACAGAACAGAACAGAGTGAGGGGTCTGCTAACAGAACTGGGAAACATGGTTTCTGGGATTCATTAAACACACAGGAGACAGGCAACTAGCCAGTATAAGTTGGGCTTGTGGATGGCAATTCTGCCCCTATGTATTGTCTATACTGCACCAAAGTGCTGTGTTCAATTTTATACATCACTTTAGGACAGATGGAACTGGCCAGAAAATACTATATGAAAACATGATTCAGAAGCACCTTCAAGGAATGGAATGTTGGGTGGGCAGTGGTGGTGCATACCTTTAATCCCAACACTTAGGAAACACAGACAGACAAATCTCTGAGTTCAAGGCTGGTCTGGTTACTCGATGAGAAACCCTGTCTCAAAAAAAAAAAAAAAAAAAAAAAAAGGCGGGGGAGGGGGGCTGGAGAGATGGCTCTGAGGTTAAGAGCACTGACTGCTTTTCCAGAGGACCTGGGTTCAATTCCCAGAACCCACTTCGAAGTTCACAATTGTCTGTAACTCCAGTTCCAAGGGATCTTATACCTTCACACCAATGCACATAAAATAAAGCTAAATAGCCAGGCGTTGGTGGCGCATGCCTTTAATCCCAGCACTCAGGAGGCAGAGGCAGGCGGATCTCTCTGAGTTCAAGGCCAGCCTGGTCTACAGAGCAAGTGTCAGGATAGGCTCCAAAGATACACAGAGAAACCCTGTCTTGAAAAACCAAAAAGAAAAAAAAGTTAAATAAATTATTTTTAAAAAAAAGGAATGCTGAGCTCAGAGGTAAAACTTTGTTTTTTGAGACAGGATTTCACTGTATAGCTCTGGCTGGTCTCAAACGCATAAATCCACCTGTCTCTGCCTCCCAAGTGCCATGTGTCATGATGCCTGGCAGAAACTATATGGAAGCTGCACCTAGGCAGAGGTATTATTGTAACACATGAATTGGCCTCTTGCTGGGCAGTGGTAGTGCACACCTTTCATCCCAGCACTGGGGAGGCAGAGGCAGGTGGATCTCTGTGAGTTTGAGGCCAGCCTGGTCTACAGAGTTCCAGG